GAGCAATACTACTAGTAGCAAGGGCATCGCTACTAGTAACAAGGGCAATACTTCTAGTAGCAAGGGCATCGCTAGTAACAAGGGCATTAGTTGTAGCAAGAAGCTACTAGTATCAAGGGCATTACTATATGGGTCAAAAGGCTCAAACACAAGGTCCTCAGACCCAAGACGGACGGTGTACTGCAGCAGAAAACTAAGCCAGGTTGAGACCTCCTAGCATGAGACTAAGCAGTATGCTATTTTGCATTCTCAAATGAGCCATTGTGCGTGTCCCAGTTCCCATCGGTGAATTGGTTGATATGTTTGGTTTTTGTTCCGCTTCGACAGGACGGAAAGGACCTGACCGGCATTGACCGGCTGGCTGACGTATGCTGCCTGGACTTGTTTGTCCTCCCTTCTCCAGGACTCGATATCACCTCCATGTCCCAGAGAAGAAGGATGAAACAACTAAATCATAAATCAATTTTGTATGAGCCATGTTGCCAAAATTTACACTGATACCTTCTTGCGTTACCGCATAAGAGAGCTCACGAGGCATACTTCTGGTTGCTCGGTCTCTTACAACATCCACACGCAGTTGATCCAAAGCAAGATCGGCTAGTAAGCTGCCATCCAAGTCCGGCTCCAGGCAAAAAAGTTGCTTCGGGACTTCGGGGTGTCAAAATGTTCAAGGTGCAAAGTTGAGATCAAAGTTTGAGGAAATTCGTTACACTGGCATATGGTCCATATGGTATAAGCCCCAAATTGTATCCTGGATAAGAAAACTGACAAGGTGTACTCCTTTGGTCGCTCAGTTGTTTATAGCCACCACCCACAAAGTAGAGTGGCTGGATGTTCGCAATGAGATGGACTCCAGGTGAAGATTGCTGCGATCAGGGCCTGGTTCCAGGCAACGGCATGTGGGATAAACCTGAAATAGCATTTTTGCACCAGAAAAGGAAAAATCACGGGTGCTTGTTTGGTCACTCGGTCTTGTTGAACCACCAACCCCATCCCGAAAACCCCACTAGGGCCTCTACACGCACTGGAGTGATGGGATTGGGGGACGGTTCCAGAATGCAAAAGCAGCGATCACGGCTTGGCTCCGAGCAGCTTCAGAATTCCAAAGGAAAGTGAAGATCAAAAGGTGGGGCCCTCAGCCCCAGAGTTCCAGGGTTTCAGGGTTCTGAGGTTAGGAGAAGTGACCCAATTTTCGCTGGAAGAAGAGTCTGTGGAGGAAACTTTTGATCAAGGCCTTGCTCTAAGAGAAGTTGGCGGAGAAAGTAAGAACGTCCGGAGCTTCCACCTGTCTGAGAAAAAATACCTGGGAACTTCACAAAAATTGCGATTTGAAGCACATCTTAGCACGATTGGTGCTTGTCCAGGTTCCCAAGTTGGCACCCCACGAGCTGCCAACTCCGGCCTGATGAGAATCCCGGAAAAGAAATTCGACTTCACACCACCTCTGGAACCGCCATCTAGCTTTATTGTTACTACTAGTAAGGCACTTGTTACTAGTAGCGATGCACTTGTTACCACTAGCTTCTTGTTACTACTAGTAATGTGTTGAAGTGTTCTGAAGTCCATGTGCTCCGAACAGAGCTCTCAACCCTGAGAAGAAAAATTACACCCCTCCTCAATGGGGCTCGCGCTAAGCAACGCATGATCACCGATATTGGATGACTGCTTCTGTGGGTGTAGGTTGATTCAAGGCGCCACAGGCTTTGTGAATTGTCAAGCTTCTTTCTACAGCAACTTGGGGGGCCAGTCATCCTTTCTCCAGGAACTCTCCAACCAAACATGTCCTCTTAAGAACTTCTCTCGACGTCAAGCTTCTCACCCTTGCAGTCATCACTGTCGGCTCTCTTCCAGCACTTTCAGTTCTCTAATGTTTGCTATCTGCAGCACTCGACGGCCAACCCTCACATCGGTGACATTGGCCCAAGTCCTTCACCCTTTCTTTCAAAAACCAACTCCAAAAAGACAGAACTTACGCAGAACAAACGGTTTTGGCAATCAGAACCACGTCACCTTCCTTTGTTTTGTGGTGACACCCATCAACAGTTCAGGCAGGCTTGGCCAGAATTCCTGAGTGAGCTACCATTCGGCTCTAGCTCCAATTCGTGACTGGACCTGTCCAGCCTGTTCAGGTCTCATTCCACCTGAGTGACGGCAAACTGCCAGGCGACAAAACCGCGACAAAACCGGGATAAACCGAAGCAGCAATCCGTCTGCTCCTCAGACCTCCTGCAAGCTTGACTTCACCACAATGTCTCAACAATAAAAGCTACCGGAAGACCAAAAGTTGGTTGGACGTCCGGGTGGTGACAGATCGAATGATTTCTCCTGGGGGTCATGGGATCCCAGCTACCTCATCAGTGGGATCAATCAATCTAAGCACCCCTGCGATGTCGATGCTCGGGCGAGGTGTTTGCGGCGCCTGCTTTTGCTGCGGAAGCCCCGAGTGACTGTTCGAATCTGGACGGTGAGTTTGTTGTTTGGGCCTATCTTGAATAGAGAGAGCCCAGCAAGTGCGGCTGATGCACCGTTGGAACATGCACTAAAGCTCGATGAAAAGCTCTGCTAAATCGATTCCTTCCATTGTCTTCTCTTTTTTCATGCCTCCGACTTCAAGAAGTCGATGTTAATGTCGCCCAGGTGAACCTGTTGTGACTGGGACACAGCTGAGATGGCTGCTTGACTCAGACCAAGAATTGCAAAAAGGATGACGCCTTTATATTTGATCTTCAAGATACTACTTGAACCCTGAGTAACACTGAATGCAATATCACTTGAAAATGGACGCACCTACTACTGGACTCAAAATATCCATGTTGAGTCCAGTAGACAAGAGTCATCTGAAGCCCCAAGGGGGTCTGTCCAGTCTTCACTTGCCTTACCCTTCAAGAAGTCCTCAGCCATCTGCTTGGCATCAAACCTGGCAGATGCCCACAGGTCGGTCAAGGTGCCCAACACCTGTCAAAACCCGAAAGGAATGAGCCCCGGGAAAATGGCCTCTTGGCATCTGGGTAGCAAAAGCATGCAAGCTGAGGTTCTGGCTTGTCCAGGTCGATGGATTGAATGGTGTCCTGGAGCTTCTGAACCACCTGCGACATCAGAAAAGCAAGAGGCTTGAAGTTCGAAAAAGGTCTAAAGTGGCGCAAACTACGCCTACAAGGTCTCAACAAGAACCCCGAACTAACACAAACAGGTCTGTAATTATTTCTTGCTACTTAGGTCGATGCAACAGCGCTTGGTTTTCTGCGCCTGCGTGGCTCCGTCGGTGGCCACATCAGCATATGCATGGACCTGACTCGATTCACTTGAGGTTGTGTTGCAAAAAAAATAATCCTGGGAAACAGTGATCACATCAAGTGATAATGAATCGAAGCCAACGAGTTCTTGGTACGGTCTTGTATTTGAGCCAAGAACTCTCTAGGCAAGTGAAGGACCGCTGTGTTAGAGTGACTGTCTGGACGATTCCTCAGAATTACCTCTTTTGCAGAATGGGCTGCGATCAATTGGGTCTCTCAGCATACTCTGCCAGGTTTCTGTAAAGGAAGAAATTCTGCACCACCTGGGACTCCAAAAAACCAACGCTAACTTGGCTTGGCCTTGGCTTTGTCCTGAAGCTTCCCAACCACTCGCT